TTAACACTTAACAAGGGGACAGAGAATCAACTACGCACCAGGCATTCTGTCTCAATGTAAATCCACGACCTCATCAACTGGCCCCAGACCTTGAAGTGATGAATAATTTAACTCTATACTAATGAGACTTGTCTTTACACAAATCCCATAGAGGAGCTTGCCCTGTGGTTGTCAGGGGCAGCCGATGGGGACTCCATAATCACCCATCACACTAAATATTGAGGCAAGAGCTTAAAACCGCTTCTCTGCAACTTGTCTTCTTAGACAAACGGAGAGTTGGCTCCAATCCTGAACTTTTGGACTCTGTGCCAAACTTTGCTCCTGTTCATACAATATAAGAGGCTTTCTGCTGAGTTCTGGGTGAGTGCGCTTTACCAACACTGCGCTAGACCCCTCTCAAATAACAGCCAATATCATGTGTAATCCTGGAAACTCTCCGGCCCATTTAGGGAGAAAAATTGCTAATGTCCAAACAGGACGCTCACCTTCCACCTTGCCGTATGTGTACAGTATGCTCAGTGGCATAGACCTTAAACTATATGTGAGGAGAAGGTAATTTAAGGTGTTAGTCAAGCGCATAGTGGCATAGACCACCCAGGGTGACCCTTACTGACAGAGTCGTCTGATTGTCTATCCAGCAGGCATAGTCTGCATTCCCAGTCTGATGCAGAGTGCTTCACCAGCGATGGCGCGCTTATGTATCTAACCACTGACTATGAACATTTCTACTGCATCTCATTAGACTCTATTTATACACTCTGTATAATAGAAATCACGTTATCTTGGGGCGGCATGGTGGCGCAGCAGTACATGGTCTCATTGTACATGCATAACACATGTGTAAATGCATAACACATGAATACAACAAAACAATGATTTTAAAAATCTGAATGTGAACGTGCTGAGTTGTTAACTTACAGACCACCACCCTTGTCAGCTTTGTTTGAATGCTTGAGTGACCTGCTAAAGTGTTGGCTAATATTCCCTTTAGGGTCTGAAAGTGGAGATGACAACCTGTCATTCACCCACGGCCTCCCGCCAGCTAGTTTGTGTTCCCTCTCCCCCAATTAGCACCTGGCCTCTGCTTCACATGTCACCAGCAAGAAACACAGGGCAATTACACATGCCCCAAATGTACAGGCAGCCATGACCCATCACCTGCTGCAAGAGCCTCCAGATAACTCACACAGTCACTGCGCCTCAGCCTCTGCCATCAGAGGGGCTCCATGCAGACTCTTAGGTTCTGCAGAGCCCAGGGGGAAATATGGGCCAAGCCTTGAACTTGATGTGTTTACAAGACACCAGAGAATGGCTTCAGGAAAACTGTGTGAAAACTTCAGCCTGTCAGGATCAAGCACAGGCTAAAGGCCCCTGCTGCTCTGTAAAACACTTTATAAGCTGTCTATCAAAAAGGTGAAAGGGTGATTTCACATTGAAGATTGAGATAGTAATAGTATAGATCAGCCATTCCCAAAGTCAATAACACCGCGGCCCCCTTAAAAATCTGACGGGTCTGTGCGGCACCCTGAAATAATAACCAAGAAGACAACGTTAAAAATAGGCTTTTCTGACGCACCCCCATTTTGAAATACAAACATTATTACAATTTGATTATTCAAGTCAAATAATAAACACAAATATTTTAATTTTACAAACAAAATATTATTAATTTAACATACAATAATGATATAATGAAACCTAAAAAAGTATGACCTCTCGCAACCCCCTGCAATACCCTCGCGGCCTGGGCCGCCAGACCACGGGGCTCCACCCAAAGCACAGGTGTTTTAATTGTCTGTTGTGACGTGGAGAGCCGGGGTGCAATTAAAAAAATTGTAAAAACACACACATGACATGCATAAAAGTACAAAAACATAAAACCTTATTAAAAACCAGCACCTCTTTTGCACCCACCGACACTTATCTCTACTTTTATGATGTTTTTAAACTTTTTTTATCAATGGAAATTGACCAATTTTTGTTTTGCCGATAATGCAGTGGTAATGGGTTGTGCCTTCGCATATGTACATTTCCTCTGTCGTCCCAAGACTGAGGCAAGGTGACAGCAAGGTAACAGTGTGAAAGTCACTCATAAATAAAATGCCCTATCACCACCATGGAACATCTTCCCTGGGGCAGACTAAACCACTGTTTAATTCAATATGTCTTTAAAGGAATAGTTCACCGTTTTTACATACTGACATATGTTCTTACCTTACCTTAGACTAGTTAATACGTACCTGTCTGGTCTTAGTCCGTGCGCTCTGTCATGCAAACGGAGCAAAAACGGGAGCACAAACGCAGCCTCCTCTGTATACTGTATAGTACCCAAAAGGTAGCTCCCGCTAGAAGCTACCAAACTCTTCCAAGTGTTCCCTATTAAATGTATATAGTTACGTGACGTGTTACACTGCAAAGTATAGTAACACAGAAATGTAACAGTCGATTTTCTCAGCGGATAAAACGGGTACTATATTATGAGGCGTAGTAATCTGAGGAGCGCTACGTCAGCGCACTAACTTCTCTCCGGAGACTTCTCTCTCGCTCACTTCCGTCAATAGAAGCAGCGTGACTTGTAATACACACAGTAGCAGCGAGAGAGAAGTCTCCGGAGAGAAGTTAGTGCGCGGACGTAGCGCTCCTCAGATTACTACGCCTCACAATATAGTACCCATTTTATCCGCTGAGAAAATCGACTGTTACATTTCTGTGTTACTATACTTTGCAGTGTAACACGTCACGTAACTATATACATTTAATAGGGAACACTTGGAAGAGTTTGGTAGCTTCTAGCGGGAGCTACCTTTTGGGTACTATACAGTATACAGAGGAGGCTGCGTTTGTGCTCCCGTTTTTGCTCCGTTTGCATGACAGAGCGCACGGACTAAGACCAGACAGGTACGTATTAACTAGTCTAAGGTAAGGTAAGAACATATGTCAGTATGTAAAAACGGTGAACTATTCCTTTAAAAAAAGACAGCACAGTCATCATCATCATCTCATGAACTGAAACTCAAGGAGACTACAGAATGGTAGTTAATTTTACTTACTATATCTTATATAGTATACTATGTTTCCCTGCTTTACAAACAGTTCTAATTCTTCAGTTATAATATGTTTACTGTAAAGTCACTGCATGTACACAATTGTTCATTGATCTTAAATTCTGTCTTTGATTGATATGCATTTGACTTATTTTCATCCCACTGCTCCAGGATAATAATTGTTGTATATGGCCATTCCCATTTGCCTTATACAGCAATGCAGGAAGCATGCAGAGTGTATAAACCAAAGGAAATTTTACATTCTTAAAAGTAACAGTGAATCAATTCAGGCATTTTAAATGAAATGATTCGAGTTTTCTTGCAAATTGCTTTTTTTGGCTATCTATTTATAGTTCTGTGTGTCTATGCAATTTACCACATGACTTGACAAACCCATGCCTTTCTTTGCCAGAAATCTCTAATTTAAAATCTTAAAATACAGATACTATTACTGTTATTGTTACTATTATTTTCTATCATATTATATTTCTGACAATTGTTTAATATATTACTATAAATATTAGTAACTATTTGTTGTTGACAATGGAAGCTGAGACCTAGCTGCAGACGCCATGTAATACTGTATATTAACTTAATCTTTCAATAAAGTGTTTGGATATATTTTCTGTTATTTTTAACTGTTTTGTGAGTAGATTGTAGGTGCAAAAGCAAGTACTGTGAATATGCGTGCGCAAGGTTACAGCGATACACGATTACTTCCTTAAATGGAAGATTCTTTTAATCTGGGACAGCTACTATATCCATCTAACCTTGTACAATCTGCGGCGCCAAGTATAGAAGGAAAACCACATGGCACTGGGGGTGACTCAGCATAAGAGGGTTACCACTAAAATGCAATCAAGTGAAGGAATGCACTGCACACAGCGTAAAGCCTCGAAGGGCCTGCTCTGACATGGACACACTCAGCAGCAGCAAATAAGTGTGCATGAATGTTATGATTGTTACAGTGGAGGTAATGAAGCATGATGAAGGTCTAGCAAAACACACAGAAGCACTGGGATCTTCTGTATCCGCTCCCTCGTGCCTGGTTCGTGGTCTGGGCACCTGGTCTTTCTAAATGAAGCCCTTGTGGCTCCTTGCACTGTCAGGCTGCCCTCATTACAAAACACATATCAAATTAATCAATCCTGCAAACTTTATTTCATCTGGGATTTGGGCGATCCTGGGCTGAGTATGCACTGAAGAGCAGCGGCGTATAGGCATCGCTCTCATTGTTTGACACGTACTGTAAGCATTGTATACTATAGTAGTCAGTGATGCTCGAGCCTTGCCAGAGCATTGCAGAGAGAGCAGAGTACTCACTGATGAGGTGAAATGATTCCGTTCATAAACAATCACGTCACGTATAACACCACACAGGCCTGCTTTACAGGTGTTCCATTTCCAGCAAAGTCATAACTATACATACAATGAAATACAAAACGGGTCTTTCTCAATCCTTTTAGTTATCGACTAATATTTGAAACAGAGAATGGTTAAACAGCTTTGTTCAATCTCCCAAAGCAGCAGGTCACTCGTGCAACCAAAGCATTAAACTTTCATAAAATCCTTTCTGCCCACCAAATTAAATAAAACAAGAGAATCTAAAACAGAAGAGGCAACAGTACCCTCACGTCAGCCGTGCGCTACGCTGCAATTAAAGTTTAACAAGGAACAATAGGTGGGCTACTCCTCAGAACAACCGCAATGTCCAACTGAGATTTGACTGCTTTCTGTTCTGGGTCAGTAGGCGATCAGATGCAGCTGACAGCACTATGTGAATTCTAATGCACGGGCAACATGGCACTAGTTTGATGATATGCAAATTGTGTCATCAGAATTGAGTTAGTTCTGAATGAAAACTCTCTGTTCAAATGCAAACCATGTGTTACAGCATCCACGCATACAAAGATAGATTTTAGGGAGAACAGATGTGGTGGTTTTGTGACGTTTTACCTTCAAAAGAAAGGAAGACCCTGGGCTGAGGCAGTAGGACGCTGGCCCCCCCAGACGACAGACAGAATATGGCCAGGAGGGAGAGCGCCATGGTGGGTCCCTCCAGCCTACCCATAATGCACTACCACAGGCCGCAGTCAGGCAGAGCTGGAAGAGAAATAACGTGATAATAAATAAATTATAATAAAAAACAAATGTATCATTTTCAATTCAGCTACAATATTGGTATTGTGGGCTTACAGTATGTGTGCCTTTATGTGTGGAGTTTGCATGTTTCTCCATGTGTCTGGGTGGGTTTCCTCTGGGTGCTCCGGTTTCCTAGCCTGATCACTAACACTATCCAGTAATTAGTTGCATTATCTAATTAAACAAATCTACTAGAATTGTGGGGGAAATCTTCATAGATTCTGCCATCGTATGAAGCAGGGACAATACATGATTGACGCCAGCATGAGTACGATTTCCAAGTGTCTCTTATTATGAACCTAAAATGATCATAAAACAAGAAAAACAACAACAATGCATTAAACATTTGTCATACAGGAAAATTAATGATGGCTCAATTAAGAGGCCAAATAAGAATGACTAAACTAAATTTGGCCCACTGGGTATATATTATTTGTAAAGTGATTTGAGAAGGTGATGTCACAGATGGCAGGCTAACATGTCATGTGCCTACCTCACTTGTACAGTACCCGCAGAAACATGCCTCTCAATAATGAATAAGTTAAATCTGTACAAAAGAGCAGCAGAAACCTCGTCTTGTTTCGCTCCAATACAGGACAACAGCGGCTCAATAATTGATAGAGGCAGGTAGACCACTGCTCATGCGTTATACAAACATGGCAAACAGAACGTCCTGTTAAAGCCCCTCACATACACCTACACCAATACATATACCACACATATACACTAATGTGCCTGCACGGATAGAAAGATAGATGGATAGATAGATAGATAGATACTGTAGATAGATAGATAGATAGATAGATAAATAGGTAGATACTTTATTGATCCCTGTGGGAGAAAGGAACAAAGGATCCCAACAACAGGATACAAAAGGACTTTATTCTAGGGACTGTTTTGTTTTATCAGTCAATTGATAAAATATAACCATCAAACTCCTCAAAATGTGTAATTTAAAATATATATGTGTTCCTCTTATTGGAAGTGAGACATTCTGGGACGAACCCGTTTTAACTCCAAACTCACAGAGTCCCTAAATCTATTTTCCAGTGAAACAGCTGTGAAAAGGGGGATTGTTAAAACCCCAAATGTGGTTATTTTACAGTAAAATAGATCCAAACTCCAGATACCAGCTATACTGTATTTTATATTTACCGTGGAAAATGTAGGCAGATTTTGGAGTTTGATCTTTCTCTTGCAGCGATTGTTCCCACTTATAATCAGAGTGAATGAGAAAACGAGAGGACCTCAGCTTCAGAGAGTCCAGCCGTTTGTTTGTGCTCTGATTGGTTCTCAGACTTACTCAGTTTGAAAAGAGAGTCATGCAGCAAGGGGTTAAGACGCTGTATGTTTTGTCATCAATTTATTATAAGGATATATTTGGCCTTCTGCAGTAGATTCATAGATAACGATTGTACTTCATTTGAAATCCCTTGTTTCTAGCTAACGTTGTGTATTGACGGATCAAGAAAATGGTAAGTATTGTAGTTGAGACACATTTTTTAAAACTTAGTGAGTTAGTTTATTTATTTCTGTCTCCTCACTCAGACTACAAAAGACAACAAAGAATAAACAAAAGGGCTGAAAGGGTTTGGGCTGTAGTGAAAAAACACACACTGAAGCTAAACCCAATACAAATGAATTACGATTTAAAGCACCAAGCGTACGGCCGGTTCAACAACCAGCAAAATGAAACGATAATAATTTGTATAATATAAAAATAATATATAGTAAATATATTCACAATAATTGTTACATACACATTTCCTCAGTGGGTTGGGCTCAAATGTGTATTCTAAACAATAGGAAAGTTTGGATATTATAATTTCTAGTTCTTTTCTTTGTGTTTTTTACTTTAAATTTGAATTTTATTTTGAACTTTTTCACTGATGTGGAATTTTAAAACTTAGGTGTAGATCACTGAAATAGGATTGAGTTCTTTTGTTGCTCAAGATGTAAATGAATCTTTCAAGGTCCCCCTCCGCCTCTGACCCTGTCCTGTAACCAGGGTCCAGCTCTGGCTTCTGTCTGCATTCTCACAGGATAGGTTTTCAAAATGTTTATTAGTTGCAAGTTTATACAGTACAAGTTTGTCGTATGGATGACAACATGGGCTGTTATCATGTGTGTGCCACAAACACAACGCTGCATTTTCCACCAGCTCTTACTGAACAAATTACACTTTCCCATGTATGTTCATTATGGAGAATTCAGGACCAATTCTTACAAACTGTTAAAGCTGGGGTATAACCTTTTATTTTCATACTGTAAATAAGCTTTGTTTTGTACAGAAATAATCCAGTAACCTTGTAACAGAAACACTATGTGAACAAATCAGACTTAAATCATAGATAAATGCGTGATGTATTTTGTATAAATACGATAAAGCTGACTGAGTGAAGGCTGTACTCCCCTTTTCACTTTTCTGCTGATCGAAAGATGTGACTGAGGCCAAAGACTAGATGGATAGATGTTGGTAGTTTTTGGTACCCTAGATTTAATTAAATAATTTACTACTGATAGCATGTGTTTTTATTTTTTCAAAAAGAAAACAAGAAATACAGGTTAAAGGTTAATCATGCAATATGTTATAATAAAGGGAGAGAAGGTGCATTTCCAGCATCGAAGCAAACCATATAAAAATGATGAGGACGCAGATTGGTCAAGCACAAATCACAACCATCAAAATCTACCAAAACATCAATGAATTCAATAAAAATCCCACAGGGCCTTAAAAACACACATTAGAATCACAAGAAATATCAAAAACAAAAAATAAAATCACACATGGATTCATTTAAGAAAGTAAAGATAAACTCGAAGGCAAAATCGATCAGTTGTACGCACAGCTAAACAGAACCAGATTTGAAAACTGCCAGAGTAGACGCTTGTCTCACATTCTCAGGAAGACTGTTCCAGATTTTAGCAGAATGAATCTTAAACGCTGCCTCCCCATGTTTAGTCCGGACTCTGGGCACCAGCAGGAGACTGTAGTCCCTGTGCTCCTCAGAGCGAGTTGGTTCATATGGCACTAACATGTCATTTATGAGTAAATATAGTTGTTTTCTTTCCTACGTTTCCTATTCGTTTAAAATGTAGTCCTTATTTGTTTTCTTTTATTTGCAATCGTTTTAAATTATGACGGTTAAATTACTTCATCAGCATGTGTCCAAATACCTCTGTAATTCAGTTCATGAGCGGCTGGACACTATCCGTCTCTCGTGCACAACAGTATTCATTAGGGAATTTAAAGAGGAATCCTGTGATCACAGATATTGTCTTGTGATACATTTTTTCTGAACTATGAAAATGCCATACTTTGATGCTAGAAACACACTGAGGATCTTTGTTTTATTTGGTAACTACATCTTTAAACTCATTTATTTAGTTAATATCTGTAGCGTACTGTAGTGCACCTGTCAAACACCAAACATGTGTGCCGTGACTGCTGCGCAAGCTCTGGGGATATTGTCAATGAAGATATTCCCCAAAACTCACCTTAAATGAAATCCCTCCACTCTGCAGAATCAAGGGTACATAAAAGCAACTCCCGCTTATTCCAAAATGGGATCGTCCTGTTTCCAGATAAAGAATAAAACAGTGGCTAGTCCATCTGAGTGCTTTGGGGAGCTCACAGGACTGAGTGAGAGCACAGAGAAGTGCAGAAGGCGGGTTTCCTATTACACACACACACACGCATACACACACACACACACACACACACACACACACACCACACGCACACACACTCCTCCCAGCTCCCTCCCACCCGTCGTTAACTAGACAGCGACTGGATGGCTTTAACATGTTCGGCCTTCGACATCAGAGAGGAGATTCACACCGAAGCCCAAGTCGGTCCCAGAGGTGGGGAATGTTCCGGCCTGACACTAGGGCTCCTTTAATGTCATCATCACATCTGTGGAGACCTCCCACTACAAGAAAGCAGGAATGTCCAGGGAAGGAGCTTAAAGACAGGCAGTGAGCACATGGTAGAGGACTTAAACCATCACCTTTTAGCGTTTATGGGGTAAATGAGTCAAGGGCACCTTTCAGAAAAGAGTAGAGATGTTATGATATAGTGTTCTTCGGGCGGACCACATTAGATCGCCCTATCCTGAAGGGCCAGATCCAGATCCAGATTTGTTTATTTTTATTCAAAGCTGCCTCTGTATTCAAATGTAAACAAAACACACAAAAAAACCTTACTGGGCTTTAATATCACAACTTTTACTATTTTTAATTACCAATATTTTACCACTATGCTATTCACCCGTTGTCCTATTGTCTGTTTCATGGTGCGATGACGGGACCTCTGAGCCTGGGATCCTCCATCTACACCTGCGGACCGCCCTGCCCGACCCGCCTGGGAGTGCTTCAGTCCTGCACCGGACCTGTCCACGTTCTGCGGCCGCTGGTCCACGTTCTGTAGCTTAGGTCCTGGATCATTAGCCCTTTCTCAATGTGGGTCTCCCCGAGGTTTCTCACTTTTTCCCACTGGGTTTTTCCTTGCCGATGCATGAGGGTCTTGTTGAACAGTTAGTGTCCAACTACAAGGATGTGGTGATGGTCCAGGACACTTTAACATTCTACAACAAGTATGGACATTTTTTTTTATATGTGTTACTATATTCTTTATGTGTCTTAACTGTTGATTATCCGATCTGTGTTGGTGATTTCAATGGTTTTGTTAAGTCCTCTGAGATGACTTCTGTTGTGATTTAGGGCTAAGAATAAATTTTATTGTATTGTACTTGTATTATTTCTGAGAACATTTTAAATTAATTGATAAGAACAGGATAAATGTGTAACATGACATGGTAGCACATATTAATACAAACCTTTGTTGAGTATTAACTATTTTTTATTTATATTTATTTATTTAAATAAGCAACAGACCGGTATGAGGTTAACAACTGGGATGGGTCCATT